TGAGCTTTGGAAGCAATTAGAACCAAGAAAACAAAAGCTGAAAGCCTTGTTACTCACTCCCGCTTCCCGGATGCTCCCTGAATCATCTTTGTGTTTCTCCATAAAGACTGGCTTCCTCCACATGGCGAGACAGATGGTCACCAAGAACTCCCAAGCTTTAAAAAGAATGACTCTCTGTGGCAAGAAAACAGAGAGACACTCCTCCCCCACCTTGCTACTCCCCATGTGGCTTCCACACGGCAACCTGGGGCTGTGTAGTGAGGGGAGGGGAGCAAAGAGGTTTGCATTAGTCCGTGTTCACACCGCTGATAAAGACATACCTGAGACTGGATAATTTATTTTTTTAAAAAAGGAGTATAATGGACTCAGTTCCACATGGCTGGGGAGGCCTCACAATCATGGCGGAAGGTGAAAGGCACATCTTACATGGTGGCAGACGAGAAAGAAACGAGAGAGCCACGCAAAAGGGGAAACCCCTTAGAAAGACATTAGCTCTCGTGAGACTTGTTCACTACCGCGAGAATAGCATGGGGGAATCTGTGGGCGGAGGATGGCCCAGGTGCCCAGGCAAGAGACTGAAGGCACAAACTGTTTCAGTATAATAAAGAAAATAGTTAGAATAAGAGTAGTCATAATACAAATTAGATATAGAGGTGATCGTGGACATTATCAATCATTATTATCAACATTATTAATCATTAGCTTTTAATATTACTCTTTGTTGCGTTACTAATATAACCTAGGAATAACAGGTGGGTATAGGGTCACGTGCTGAAGGGACATTGTGAGAAGTGACCTAGAAGGCAAGAGGTGAGCCTTCTGTCATGCCCGCAATAAGGGCCATTTGAGGGCTCCTTGGTGAAGCGGTAGCGCCAGTGTCTGGGAAGGCCCCTGTTACTTAGCAGACCGCTAAAGGGAGTCTCCTTTCCTTGGAGGAGTCAGGGAACGCTCTGCTCCACCAGCTTCTTGTGGAAGGCTGGATATTATCCAGGCCTGCTCGCAGTCATCTGGAGGCCTTAACCCCTCCCTATGGTGCTGTGCTTCAATGGTCACGTTCCTTGTTCACTTTCATGCTCCTCCTCCTGTACTGGTTCCTCTTTGAAGTTCGTAGTAGATAGCAGTAGAAGAAATAGTGAGAGTCTTAAAGTCTTTGATCTTTCTTATAAGTGCATAGAAAATATTGACGTATGCTGCCTGCTGTCTCTGCTTCGGCTAACTATAAGGGAAGGGCCCCCTGTCCCATGATCACGTGATTTGCTTCACCTTATCAATCACCTGGACATGTCACCCTCCTTACCCTGCCCCCTTGTCTTGTATGCAATAAATATCAGTGCGTCCAGCCGTTCGGGGCCATTGCCAGTCTCCGCGTCTCGGTGGTAGTGGTCCCCACGGCCCAGCTGCTTTCTCTTTATCTCTTTGTCTTGTGTCTTTATTTCTTACAATCTCTCGTCTCCGCACATGGGGAGAACACCTGCAAAGCCCCGTAGGGCTGGACCCTACAGGAATCCGCCCCCATGATTGAATTATCTCCCACTGGGTCCATCCCACAGCACATGGGAATTATGGGGGCTACCATTGAAGATGAGATTTGGGTGGCGACGCAGACACAAACCTTATCAGAGTTGTTCCTTCAGATGCAACATTCCTGGGAGCTTCTGGTTAGGACAAGATACAAGCGGAGACAGCTTCATGGGTATTGTAAATTCAATGTTTGTGTCCCAACAAAATTCAGCTGTTGGAACTTAACCCCCAGGTGATGGTATTTGTAATACGGGAGCTAAAAAGAAATGCTTTAGGCAGACAGTGAGGGTGAGAGAGTCCTCCGTAAGGTTTCCTGTGAATAAAGAGCAGTCCCCAAATCATTTCTTTTCTAACAGAAAGCAGCCCGAAACATCAAGGTGCAGGCCTAGACAAGCAAGCTAAAAGCTTGTATAGGTAAATGCTGGCAGCTGTGCCAATAGAAAAGGGATGCCTGGAGGCCGGGCATATTCAACATGGAGGTTCCCTCTTCCCTTTTGTTTGTCCCCACATGTGCAGTAAAAAAACAGGCAACGTGGCCCCGGCCAGGCAGAGACCCCACCTACGTAATAAAACATTAGGGTGGGATAGCCAGCTTCTTCGTGGGTTATGCAAACGTCACACCTGGTCCGGCTAATCTCTCAGGCCCTATGTAAATCAGACACCACCTGCTCAAGCTTGTCTATTAAACCCCATGCATTTCACCACGAAACCAGGCGTCCCACTCGGGAGCCCCTCTCTATCTGTACGAGAGAGAGAGCTATTCTCTTTTCTCTTTATTTTGTTTATTAAGCCTTCACTTTTTTTTTTTTTTTTTTTTTGAGAGGGAGTCTCGCTCTGTCACCCAGGCTGGGATGCAGTGGCCGGATCTCAGCTCACTGCAAGCTCCGCCTCCCCGGTTTACGCCATTCTCCTGCCTCAGCCTCCCAAGTAGCTGGGACTACAGGCGCCCGCCACCTCGCCCGGCTAGTTATTTTTTGTATTTTTTAGTTGAGATGGGGTTTCACCTTGTTAGCCAGGATGGTCTCGATCTCCTGACCTCGTGATCCACCCGTCTCGGCCTCCCAAAGTGCTAGGATTACAGGCTTGAGCCACCGTGCCCGGCCCACTTTTTTTTAATTTTATTTTTGAGCAGGAGTCTCTGTCATTCAGGCTGGAACTCCTGACCTCAGTTGATCCTCCCCGCCTCGACCTCCCAAATTGCTGAGATTACAGGCGTGAGCCACTGCGCCCTGCCTAGTCTCTTTCACTACGTGAGGACACAGCAAGAAGGTGCCAGCTATGAACCAGGAAAAAGCCCTCAGCAGACTGAATCTACCAGCGCTTTGGTCTTGGACTTGAAGGCTTCAGAACGGTGAGAAATAACTATGTGTTGTCTGGAAGCTGCCTGGTCTTTGGTACGTTGATAGCAGCCTGGATGGACTAAGACGCTCCCTCCTCCCTCTCATGCCCTGGACCCTCATCAGGGCCAGAAGTGGTTGGGGTGATGGCCCAAGCAGACTTTTAAAAGCACTGGCCTCGCACAAGGGTTGGAACACTACAGCCCACAGCTTGTTTTTGAAAACAAAATGTTTTGTTTTTAAAACAACTTTCTGGGCTGGGCACAGTGGCTCACGCCTGTAATCCCAGCTCTTTGGGAGGCTGAGGTGGGTGGATCACTTGCAGTCAGGAGCTCGAGGCCAGCCTGGCCAACATGGTGAAACCCCATCTCTACTAAAAATACAAAAAAATTAGCTGGGCGTGGTGGCAGACGCCTGTAATCCCAGCTACTCGGAAGGCTGAGACAGGAGAATCATTTGAACCTGCCGGGGGAGGTTGCAGCGAGCTGAGATCACGCCACCGCACTCTGGCGCCTGGGGGACAGAGCAAGACTCCATCTAAAAAAAAAAAAAAAAAAACTTTCTATAGATACATAATATTTATGCATATTTATGACATACATGTGACAGTTTGATACATGCACAGAATGTATAATACTCAAATCAGGGTATTTAGGATATTCTGCTACCTCAAACATTTATCTTTCTTTTTTTTCCTTTCGAGACAGAGTCTCTGTTGCCCAGGTTGGAGTGCAGTGGTGTGATTTTGGCTCACTGCAACCTCCACCTCCTGGGTTGAAGTGATTCTTCTGCCTCAGTCTCCCAAGTAGCTGGGATTACAGGCATGCACCACCACACCCAATTAATTTTTGTATTTTTAGTAGAGATGAGGTTTCACCATGTTGGCCAGGCTGGTCTTAAACTCCTGACCTCCGGTGATCCACCCGTCTTGGCCTCCCAAAGTGTTGGGATTACAGGAGTGAGCCACTGCACCTGGCTCATTTATCATTTGTGTTGGGAAAGTTTCAAATCTTCTCTTCTAGCTATTTTGAAATATACAATGTACTGTTGTTAACTATAGTCACCCTTCTGTGCTGTTGAACACTTGAACTTGTTCCTTCTGTTTAACTGTGTTTGTGCCCGTTAACTAACCCACCCCTTCTAGCCTGTGATAACTCTCTCTCTTTTTTTTTGAGACGGAGTCTTGCTCAGTCACCCAGGCTGGAGTGCAGTGGCGCGATCTCGGCTCACTGCAAGCTCCGCC